TCAGTTTGTGGACGGTCTCCAAGAGAGAATAGCCCGTAAAGTAGAGAGAGTCAAGTATAGTGGCCTCCACAAATTATTACATCTTTCAGTTCAAGCGGAACAACAAATCAAGCGCAAAACCTCATTAACAAACCGCAACCGTGGGAGCCAGCCGTGGCAAGCCAGCTCTAGTAGGACCATTGACAAGGACAAGGCCGTGGAAGCTGATTCACGTCTCAAATCAAAACCCACTGAGGCACCAAAGACCAACTGACCGGAACCAGGTAAGTTTCAAAACACTAGTCAAGCTAGAACACGCGATATAACCTGTTTCAAGTGTCAGGGACAAGGGCACTATGCACGAGACTGCCCAAATCAAAGGGTAATGATCATTACTCCGAGTGGAGGATATGAGTCGCAAGACAAGCCCGAAGAGGATCCCGAGGACAACAAAGAGGATGTGGAATATCCTGATACTGGTGAATATCTCCTAGTGACTAGAAGAGTCCTAAGCGTGCAAGTTCAGCCCGAGGATTGGATCCAACGAGAGCACTTGTTTCACACACGATGCACCATTAACAACAAGGTATGTAATCTTGTTATCGATGGAGGTTCATGTACTAACGTGGCAAGCAAGTTTATGGTAGATAGGTTAGGGCTGGTGGAGATCAAGCACCCGAGGCCTTACAAACTACAGTGGCTTGACGATGCCACCGAGCTTAAAGTAACCGAACAAGTTACGGTTCCTTTTAGTGTGGGCAAGTACAAAGACGAGGTGCTTTGTGATGTTGTGCCGATACAAGCAGGACATCTTTTATTGGGCCGGCCGTGGCAATTCGACAAGGCTACCTTGCACAATGGCCGCACCAACTTTTACAGCTTTACACATCTTGGCTGCAAATACAATCTAGCACCACTCAGCCCCCACCGAGGTCCATGAGCTCTAGAGCCGAATGCAACAAGAGGCTAAGTCTTCTAAATCAGCATTATATCTACTGGAGAATTAAACCGGGTTTGGAGTGTCAATGGCACTATGTTATTAATGCTTTTCAAAGAATGTCTTAGTGCAGGTTTAAAGGAACTTGAACTTCCACCCGAGGTAAAATCTTTAATTCAACGATTTGAAGATGTCTTTCCTAAGGAGATCCCACCAGGGCTACCACCTCTACGAGGAATAGAACATCAGATAGACCTTGTTCCAGGCCAGCCATTACCAAATAAGACAGCTTACCGAATGAACCCAAAAGAAAGCAAAGAGCTCAAGAGACAAGTGCGAGACTTGATGGACAAAGGCTATATACGAGAAAGCCTCAGCCCCTGTGCCGTGCCCATGCTCCTAGTGCCCAAGAAGGACGGTACATGGCGAATGTGTGTGGATTGCCGGGCTATAAACAACATCACCATCAAATATAGGCACCCGATTCCACGTTTAGACGACATGTTGGATGAGCTTAGTGGCTCCACTATCTTCTCCAAAGTGGACTTGAAGAGTGGGTACCATCAGGTCAGAATGCGTGAAGGAGATGAATGGAAAACGGCTTTTAAGACTAAGCAAGGCTTGTACGAGTGGCTAGTCATGCCTTTTGGCTTAACTAACGCCCCTAGCACCTTCATGCGATTAATGAACCAGGTTCTTCGAGAATATATAAGTAAATTTCTGGTAGTTTATTTTAATGACATACTTATATATAGTAAGAACCTACATGACCATCTCACACACCTCGAACTAGTGCTCAAATCACTTCGCAAGGAAGGCCTTTATGCTAACCTCAAGAAGTGTTCATTCTGTACTAACTAACTCGTGTTCTTAGGGTTTGTTGTGAGTGAACAGGGTCTACAGGTGGACGAAGAGAAGATCAAAGCCATACAGGAATGGCCCACGCCCACCACCATCGGTCATGTTCGAAGCTTTCATGGGTTAGCCAGCTTCTACCGGCGATTGGTGAAAGATTTCAGCACCATGGCCGCACCACTCACGGCTGTCATCAAGAAAAACGCTCCATTTAAGTGGGGAGTAGCTCAAGATGAAGTGTTTCAAGCCTTGAAGAAAAAGCTCACTCAAGCACCCGTTCTTGCGTTACCTAACTTTGATGAGATGTTCGAAGTGGAATGCGATGCCTCCGGGTTAGGAATCGGAGCTGTACTGCACCAGAAGAGGAGGCCGGTGGCGTATTTCAGCGAGAAACTCCATGGAGCCACCCTCAATTACCCTATCTACGATAAGGAGCTGTACGCTCTGGTTAGAGCATTGGAGACGTGGCAACATTACTTGTGTCCAAGGAGTTCATCATACACACTGATCACGAGACCCTTAAACATTTGTGTGGCCAAACCTCACTTAAACGAAGGCATCCTAAGTGGCTTGAATTCATAGAGACCTTTCCCTATGTAATCAAGTACAAAAAGGGCAAAGAAAACGTGGTAGCTGACGCTTTATCAAGACGCCATCCCCTTATAGCGACCATGGAGGCCAAAGTTTTGGGCTTCGAGCACACCAAGGCGCTATACAAAGTTGATCCTGAGCTTGGTGAAGCATATAACGATTGCTGCATAGGCTCCACAGGTTCTTTCTATATACACGATGGTTTTCTTTTTAAAGATAAACGCTTGTGTATTCCGCAGGGATCAATGAGGGAACTAGTGCTTAGTGAAGCTCACGGTGGAGGCTTAATGGGACACTTTGGGGTGGATAAAAATCTTGCTGTCATGATGGACCTTTTCTATTGGCCACACATGAAAAGAGACGTGGAATGGTTCTGCTCAAGGTGTATCCAGTGCCACAAAGCCAAATCATGGTCACATTCTCACGGCTTATATATGCCTCTGCCTATACCTAACGCCCCTTGGGTAGATATTTCGATGGATTTTGTCTTAGATTTGCCCAAGATCAGGCACAAGGACTCTATCTTTTTTGTTTTTGACCGGTTCTCTAAGATGGCCCACTTTATACCGTGTGAAAAGAAAAACGACGCCACACAAATAGCCAATTTGTTCTTCAAGGAGGTCGTGCGTCTACATGGAATCCCGAGAACAATCATTTCAGACCGAGACACCAAGTTTCTCAGCCATTTCTGGCGTACCTTGTGGAAAAAGTTAGGCACCAAACTCCTTTTATCCACAACTTGTCACCCACAGACCAATGGCCAAACGGAAGTGGTAAACCGAAATTTATCTACATTACTTAGGATTGCACTTGGTAAAACATGAACACATGGCTTGATTGCTTATAACCGTGCAAGACATTCGGCTACAAAGCTATCTCCTTTTGAGATAGTTTATGGTACTAACCCTCTTTCTCCAGTGGATCTTAGACCTGTAGCAAAAGTAGACCAAGCCAATCTAGACGGATTAAGATGAGGAGAACTGTTTAAAAAGTTATATGAGACGGCGAAGACTAATATAGAAAAGAAGACCGAGGTCTACAAGAAGGCCGCGGAGAAGGGCCGAAAGGACATCTCATTTGAGCCAGGAGATTGGGTCTGGTTACACATGAGGACCGAAAGATTTCCTAGGCGGCGCGCATCCAAACTCTCACCTCGAGGTGACGGCCCATTCAAAGTCTTGAGCAAGATCAACGATAATGCTTACCGTTTGGATCTTCCAGGTGAGTATAACAATTCACACACCTTCAACGTGGCTGACTTATCTTATTTTGATGCAGGTGAAGAAGTTTTGGGGTCAAAACCTTTAGAAGAGGGAGGGAATGATGTGGACATCGACCCTAAGACCTTACCGGAGCTAATGCCATCAGTCCAAGACGGGGCCATGACACGCTCCAAGATTAAACAACTCAGAAATAGATACAAGAGGGCCTTACACATCTTTATCAACTCGCTAGAACCAGACGACCTATTGTTGCCCGACCTGAATGTCATATACGGCTTAAACGAGTTTTGCAGCCAAACCGGGTGATATGTCTATATTTTACATCATTTAGATTGCATTTTAGAGTCCTCATCATGTGTTTTCCCATGTAAATTGAGTCTTTAGGCATAAAAATAGGATTTAGGGCTTGCATTAGGTCCCAAAGAGTTTTGCATGTTTTGAAGTCTTTATCAGGTGCTTTGGAAGCCATTTGGAGCTTAAGAAGAGGAGCAGAAAAGAAAACGGTGAAGAAAAGGGTCAAAAATGGTGAAACCCGCTTGGGGGAATTTCTCGGCCAAAACTCGTACCGGCTGGATAGAAACCTCGGTCAAAAAGCTTACCGAACGCCCATTATCGACCAAAACCCTTACCGATCGACCAAAATCGACCAAGGTCGAGTATCGGGTGCAAATTACCTGGGGTTAAGTTTTTGGCCGAGGCGAGAGGAATTTTACGGCTAAAAAGCTTACCGCGGTACATAGCCCTCGGTCATTTTCCTTACCGCGGGAAGCTTTTCTTGGCTAAAACCTGTCCACCTTCTTTCTCAATGTCCGCATTGAGATCACAGAACAGGAACTCAAACTCATCGATAATGGCGTCCTCATTATCTTTTGTCAGGCGTTTTGCACTTGAGACATTGCCATGGAGAAGATCCTCAATTTATTGGACAGCAGCATGATTCTCATCATTTGAGAGGATTGCATTGCAGTATTCTATTGGATGTGCAACTGACGTCCCTGGTAAAGATCTTTGAGTTTGAGAACTGCAGTGGCCCTTGTTGTTCTCTAGAGTCTTGACTTTGGAAACCAGGTTTGAAAGTTGAGTTAGAAGATCAGAATAAGTGCAATCCACCTTGTTGTTAATCTCTGCCATTTTCTTGTTGAAGTCCACGGCACCATTTGCTTGACCTTGGAGAATTTGCTGGAGCAGGTTATGTACTTTCTTGTGTTAGGGTTCTTCTTGTCTTGGCTTTTCTTTAATACTCAACGTAGAAGGTTTGTAATGCAAAGTAATTTGGGCCAGCAAACACTTGAGCCCACCTGAAGCATGAATTCATATTGGGCCATATAGAAAGAATAATGAAACCTATTATCTCACAATCTCCACCTTGGGCCCATTTTTCTTTCCCCTTTCTTTCCCAAAACACGATAAGCATCTTCCTTCTTCATTTACGTTACAGATCGTCGACACCCAAATCCAACTCCATCGAGATACTGTGCATATCCAGTGACTTGATCCTCCATTAATCTCTGTCAATTGAATTGTTTCCCGATCAGATGCCATAACTTGGACATCCTGTGATGGCCACCTTCCTTTTTTTTTGCTATATCCTTTGTACCATCGCCATCTCGCCGGAATCTCTGCAATTTCCGATGATCTCTCCTTCACCGATCTTCTCTGGTGACTGTCGGTACTCTCACCCTTTCCCACTAAAACCGCCGAGCTCTAACTCCTTTGATTTTACTGATAGTGAAGCTAGATGCAAATCTTTTCTGACCAGAAATTTGCATCTCCTGCGATTTCTCTTATCGCAATTACTCTCTGAAATCTCAGGTATCTTCTAACTCCTCTTCATCTCTTTGCTATGACGAACTTTAGATTTCCTTTCTAGGATTACCAACTCACGAAATTCTGAAAATTTCGATCCTTTATTTGCAGCGGTAACAGTTTCTCCTATGAACATCTCATGTTCTTCAACTGTCACGATAAACTCAGGTAACCCTCTGACCTGAATCATCTCTCTTTGTCTCTATATCTTAAGATATCTCTGAGACACTATGAAATTTTATTTACTGATTTCATACCTTCTCGCTGCTTGTTCAGAAAACCTGATTCATCTTTGTCGACCTATTAATTCATCTCATGTGCACTGAGCTTTGAATCAACCTCTTCATGAATCACTTCCAGCTACTCCACCTGAAACTAACCGTAGTCTCAATTTCATCTTCTTTGCAGCTTCTTCCGAGGAACAGCCCATGTTCTTCAGCTACCTAGATGACCTCAGGTAAGTCCCTTAACCTGAACCTTGTACTCTCGACTTGCTTCCCAGATTCATGAAAAAACACATCTAACTTGTCTTCCCTTGAATCTCCCAACAGCTCCACCTGGAATCAAAGTGTCCTCACCGTAATTCCAGCCACCTCAGGTAACTCTTCTAACCCATTAATCAATCTTGATTTTACTTTATCGACATAAGAACATTTCCGAAACCGACCATTTCTATATTCTTCTTCCTGCGAGAGTACCATGTTGATTATAGAGTTACCTGGAGCTGCACCACCCTTCAAACTAGGTTGAGAAGATCGCAGCAAACCTGAGCTTTTTGTCCAGGTACTGCTTCAGTTACAAAATCTGTTGAACTTTTACTCTTGTGAACCGTAGATAAAATTACATCCCCTTTAGCTCTATCTCCAAATAAACCCGTTCCCAATATCTTAGAAACTTTCCCAAATCTTTCACCTCAAGTTCTTTGCTCAAACTCTCTTCTTCTCCAACACTTTTCTGATGCATCCGCTTCTTACTTTCAAAAATATCATCGAGTGATGACACTATCTCAGATTCTTCCTTGCTCTCCTTAGACTCAATTACTTCGTAACTCTCAGATTTTTCTGATGAAGAAGAGTCTCCACCTTGATCTGATGAATCCCTTGTCTCAAAACCATAAGGAGTTGCTCCTTGAATCAGATTCTCGCTGAATGTCACCTTCTTTGACTTCTCCTTTTTCACTTCTACCACAGCTCTTTGCACGTTTACGTCAACTTTAGAAACTGTGTCTTGAAGATAATACAAACCACCTTGGTATTTTCCAGATATTACCTTTTTCTTGCCTTTGTAGAACTGAACTTTGAAGTCACCTCCGTGATACCTGCAACCAGTTTTCTCTAACATCACATAAGAAATAAGATTCCTACTCACCTTTGGTATGTATTTCACATCCTTGAGTATCACTACAGAACCATCTGGATTCTGAATCCGAATCTTTCCCATTCCTTTGATATTACAATGAGTATTATTAGCCATCAAAACTTTACCACCATCAAACTCCTTGAAGTCAAACAAGACTTCTTTGTCTGCTGTACTATGGTATGAACAGCCTGAGTCCATAATCCATTCTTTCTTAGTATCTTGAGAGCTAACACTTAACACCATTGGTTCCTTTGAATCTGTCGCAACATTTGCAGAATCTGCAGGTTTCTTTCTATGAGGACATTCCCGTTTCCAATGTCCTTCATCTCCACAGACAAAGCAACCTTAGTTGTTTTTCTTTCCTCTACTCTTATACCTTCCTCTTCCATTCTCTGACCTTTTTTCTGATCTGCCTCTAGCCTCAACATATAACCCTTCTCCATCTGATCTTGAAAGCTTTTCATTTTCAGACAGCTCTTGTTCCTTAGATTTTGCAGCACTAGCTACTTCCTCCAACTGAATAGCTTCCCTACTATACTTAAGAGTATCCTTTAAAGAATCATACCTAGAGGGAAGAGATTTGAGTAGCAGTATTGCTTGAACCTCTTCTGGTATCTCAATGTTGAGGTTGCTCAAATCTGCAATCAGCTTCAGGAAGTCATCTACATTCTGATCAATTGATCTTAAATCCTGCATTCTAAAAGAATACACCTTAAGCTGAGAATGGACCCGATTTGGCAAGGTCTTTTCCATGTAAAGCCTCTCAAGAGTAGCCCACGCTTGAGCTGCGGTTACACACTTGTCTAGCTTCCTTAAGAAATGATCTCCAACGCACATGAAGATAAGATTCAAAGCCATCTCATCTCGCTCCAACCTTGAAGCGTCGTCTTTGCTCTTTTTCTTCACTGCCTCTGGATCTTTTTCATCCACCTTTTTGGATGTTGGTTCCGAAAGAACATCTTTCAAACCTTGAACGGTTCAGTACGCAAGCATCCTTTTCTTCCAGACCACAAAATCACCTGATCCGTCGAACATGCTCACCTCCATTTTTTGTGTTGTCATAACCGAGTTTCTATTCTGATCCTTCTAGCACTCAAACCTGGATTGCTCTGATACCACTTGTTGGGTTTTTTAACTTCTCCTGAGTGTTTGGTTTTTAGATCTATTAGATGAATTAGAAACTTAAATGACACAAAAGTTTGATCATCCAGTTCACGGCCTCAAACCGCTACGTCTAGGGTGGAAACCGTCTCTCACAACCTCCATTATCAATCAAAGAATACACAAACGCACTAACCGGCGCTCTCTTTGTGTTTCAGGTACAAGTAACAGAATAGAACAATATAAGAAGAAGACTTGAATCACAACACAAAGAAGACTCGAACTCCCTTTAGTGCTCTCTTGGATTCTCTCTTCTCTCTTCTCTCAATTGCTCTCTCTCTCCCTCTGTATCTCTTGCTTGTACGCTCTTTGACTCTCTCTTTCTTATGTTAGGGTTCTTTTTTTCTCGGCTTTTCTTTTATACTCAACGTAGAAAATTTGTAATGCAAAGGAATTTGGGCCAGCAAACACTTGAGCCCACCTGAAGCATGAATTCGTATTGGGCCATATAGAAAGAATAATGAAGCCCATTATCTCACAGTATATAATGATAACTAAATTAATTTATTGGAAGATGGATATTATTACTTATATAGAAATTTTTATTTATAGAATGTAGATGATTTAGAGTAAATATGTATACATATGCAAGTTTACAGATTTGTAAATTTAATAATTTTTACTAGTCTCATATATTTTTATCAATTTATAACTTTTTAATATATTAATACATATTTTATTTTTATTGTAAGATGATATCACCAAATATACTTTATCAACAAATGAATTTTTTGTTGTAAGATATTAATTTATTTATAACTCAAAAAGGAGACCAAACCACTTCAAGAACAGAAAAGAGATAGTTTACATTTATTTGGTATAAATAGTAGTTTTTCATTATATTCATGCTTATGTATTTGCATGTAACAGCGGATGATTGTTATGTTTATAGAAATCTTCTAGATTCTACCCTGTGGATCCGCACATGAATTTTTTTTTACTTATAATATAATTTGTATTTTCGAATTTAGATATAATTATTTTTATAGATATATTTTTTTAATGAGTAAAACATATATATTTTTGTAGATAGATTTTTTTTGTAGATATAATTTTTTGTAGATTTAAGTTTTTATAGTATTAAAGATGATCACAATTATAAAAATATAATTTTAAACCGCTCGTTCATATTAATCCAAAAAATCGTGATTATAAAAGCGTAATTTTTACTCACCTATTTATATTACCGTATAATATAAATATTTATTAAAATTTTGAGATATATTAATGATAATTTATTTGGCATAGAATGTATGATATAGTTATTTAAAATTTAATCTATAATAAAATTATGTGACAATTTTTTATATTATTTTTTTATTATCAGTTGGTATGAAAAAATATATTTTTATCATATATGTATGATTCAAAATTAGAGATTATATTCATCTAAATATTTTTAACCCATTTTTTATTTATATTTTCAGTTCTATTTTTTATTTAAAATATATTTTTAATATTTAATTATAGATTTGACTCTTACCAATTATTTGTTTTATTAATTTGTAAATAAAACATACTCATAAATAATTTATATAATCAACATAAATATCATATTATTTACATTATTAGAAATATTTTATATTTCACATATAACCATTATTTTCTACGTGTGAATTGTTTATTTTTCCTAAAGTATTGATATTCTAAATTAGTATCTGATTTATTATTTTTTGTGACAATAATAACTGATTTTTTTATTTTTGGTAAATAATGTAATATATATTTAAGGCAATCTAAAATAATCCCAGTTAATATTTGAATTTTAGAATTAAATTTATATATATATAATAAAAATTATTAATATTAAACTGAATTAATCTGTTTGGCAATAAAAATAGCAGTTATTCAAAAACAGAATCATCTTGAATGAAGAAAATCCTGTTTGGACACAAAAGTGCTTCTTTTTTAATAGTATAGATATTACCTTTAAAATAGAAAAATTTCAAACACAAATTTATAAACAAATTTTCAATTCACAAAAAATAAGTTTCTATTTATCAAAATATACATGACATATATTAACAATCACATTTATAATTTATTGACTTTTACGTAAACTCTATTCTATATAAAACAAAAAAATATCATTTTATCATAACCATAAATTAATATTTTAAACCAATAAAATATCACTAATTATAAAATTCACGCATTGTGTGAGCAATCATCTAGTATTTATCAAACTTTGAGTAGTATTTTGCCTAAGGACAAGATTGATTTAAAATATTTCACTAAAATATTTATCATACAAATGTTTTAAGCTGTTTCTAATTTTGTTAATTACAAAAAAAAAATGAGCTTGAACACATGAAATTTTGTTATGTTAAAAAAACTCTGGTGTAATACATTAATGATTTGAACATTGAAAGCAAATCAAATAGATAAAGTGAATAAGAGTTTATCAAATAGATTAAGCAACACAAATGTGAATTAAACATGTTATGTATCCATTTAGGGCTGGGCACTGGGGTCCTTGTTTGGGTTTGGTTCAGGTACCCAAATGTTAGATATTTAGAACCCACTCAGATATTTTTTTTGTTCGGGTTTTGTTCGGGTTTTGTTCGGTTCCACTCAAATTCAGCTCTGATGAGGACATCGAGACAAGCATCACACAAGCCGATGAAGAGCTGATCACCATACCGATTATGAGACACGCACCAAGGACAAGATCAGGCACTGGGAGCTTAAGAGAGGAGTTTAACAAGTCAATAGAGGGGCTGATCACACTCATAGAGCATGAATAACTCAAGGAGAAGCTGCTCAAAGGGGAGATCACCCGAGAAACACCAATGGAGCCACTGACTGAGTTCAACACTCTAGAGACACAAGACTTGGAGATCACGGCAGGATCAAACCTTAAGGATTTCAAAGACTTTCAAGAAACCAAGAACACTAAGGAAACACCGAGCAATGAGTACTCTCAACTCAAGCTTCAAACCGTGTCATTCTTGCCGGCCTAGCAAGGCAATAGGGAAGCAGCCTTGTTCGTCATCTCCAAACTAGTGGAAATTGCACTCCTCCATTCGGATTATATCTCACGAGTTTATTGTTTGTTTTGCAAGAACTTTTTAAGTAGTTTTTCCATTTTTCTCTTTAGTAAAACGCTAAGCTTAGTTATTCCTTTTGTAACATATTCGGCCAAGAGAAGTCACCAGCTGTTGAACCATTATATAAGGTTCCTTCTCAGCTTGTAAGTTTTTTTTATCTTTGATTAATAAAATATCCGAGTTTTCTTAAGATAAAAAACCCTATCCGCAGCTAGTTCTCTCTTCTTCTCTAGTATGATTCCTTTGAAGCTGAGAACCTTGACTTATAAGAGAGCTCTCCATCCTGTGAGTGGCGTCCTTCACTCCATAGTTACCTTTATGTTTTCAATCCATCATTCATCTCTACCGAGTCTACTAGAGAGAGCCGTACGCCCAGCTAAAGAACCACCATCACTCGTGTAAGAACATCTCACACTTGTTCCTATATCATCTGGTATCAGAGATTAGGCGTATAGTCAGGTGAATGTATCCCCTTTTCATTTTACGCTAGCGTTGTTTTATCTCTAGAAAATAAAATAAAAATATAGATCCGTTGTGTTTTGAATTTTGAAAATGCATATATACAAGCTTGAGCTTCTAGGTGAGATGAACATTTCTCCCACTTTCAATGTTACTGACTTAGCTCCTTTCCATGCAGGAGATCCTGTTCTGAGGTCAGAACCTTTTCAAGAGGTAGAGAATGATGAGGAGATCGAGACAAGCATCACACAAGCCGATAAAGAGCTGATCACCATACCGACTATGAGACACGCATCAAGGACAAGATCAGGCACTAAGAGCTTAAGAGAGGAGTTTAACAATTCAATAGAGCATGAAGAACTCAAGGAGAAGCTGCTCAAAGGGGAGATCACCCAAGAAACACCAATGGAGCGAGAGTTCAACACCCTAGAGATACAAGACTTGGAGATCACATCAGGATCAAACCTTGAGGAGTTCAAAGACTTTCAAGAAACCAAGAACACTAAAGAAACTTCGAGCAACGACTACTCTCAACTCAAGCTTCAAACTGTGTCATTCTTGCCGGTCTTGCAAGGCAATAGGGAAGCAGCCTTGTTCCCCATCTCCAAACAAGTATATACTCCACTACTCGAGTTTATTGTTTGTTTTGTGGAACTTTCTCTTAGTATTTTAGTAGTTTTCCAATTTTTCTCTTTAGTAAAATGCTAAGACCACCTCCATCGGTGATACCGTATGGGAATATTAGAGAAAAAGTAGGTTTAACTTTAATTGAAAAATGCATTTAATCTTAAGGATTAGTTGGTATGATCCTTACGGATGGATCTTAAGAGTCTATTAGCTAAGTGTCATGTTTTAATTGGTTAGAAGAAGCAGCTTAAAATTTAATATTAAAATATATGACAAATTTAATATTAAAATATATTTAAGAATTTCTACTTGGGTTTAAGGGGTGGAGATGCTCTAAGCTTAGTTATTTTCTTTTGTAACATTTTCGTCCAAGAGAAGCCACCAGCTGTCGAACTATTATATAAGGTTCCTTCTCAGCTTGTAACTTTTTACATTTGATTAATAAAATATCCGAGTTTTCTTAAGAGAACAAAACCTTAGCCGCAGCTAGCTCTCTCTTCCTCTCTGGTGCGATTCCTTTGAAGCTGAGAACCTTGACTTATCACAGAGCTCTCCATCCTCTGTGTGGCGTCTTTCACTCCATGGTTACCTTTATGTTTTATTCCATAATTCATCTCTACCGAGTCTACTAGAGAGATACGTACAGCCAGCTAGAAATGCACCACCACCATCACTCGTGAAAGAAATCTCACACTTGTTCCTACATCAAAGTCAGGTTCGGGTACCCAAAATTTATCTCAAATTTTAAAAAAAACTAAAACAATTATTCAATTTAAATAAAATTTGGTTAAAATTTACAACGTTTTTTAATTTTGAAAAATATAACTAAAAGTTTTTTTTAATATTTCGGTTATTTTGGTTATTTTGGTGTAAACATAACTAATATATTTGATTTCTATATTTTTATATTTTGATTACTACAAGACTAAATATACATATTATATTTAGATATATGATAGTATTTCATATATTTCGGATATCCGTTCAGGTTTCGGTTTGGTTTCAGTTTAGTTCGGGTACTCAAAATATATTTTAAAAGAAACCATTCAGGTATTTTTTTTTTTTTTTGTCAACAGCCTCTTCTCCTAAACCGAAGTTGTTAACCAAACCGGTGGAGATGAGTTCACATAAATCATATTCTCTGGATAGACTCTAGCGCTGTGAGCTAATGCGTCCGCCTTGGTGTTCTTCGCTCGTGGTATGTGGATCAGTTTGAAAAAAAGGAACTTCTCTCTGTATTTCTGGATTTCCCCCAATTATAGTGCAAATGCTGGCCGTTCCGTTGGTGCCGACACCATCTTCACCACATCAAAACAGTCTGTTGCAAAAACTACTTCTCTTCGCTGATTTTCAATCATGCACAGCATTGCCCATAATAGTGCCTCTACTTCTGCATGTAAAGGAGATAAGCTTCGTCGTAAATTCTGTGCCCCCATTATGGTCTCGTTGGATTCCTCTCTCCTATAATACCATCATATACCTGATGTTTTATCCGTCTCCTTCCAAGAACCATCCACCGAACACCATCCATTATTATTAAAGGAGGTCGGGTGCGATGGCAATTGAGGATGTTGTGTTTCCGTTTTAGTTACCGAGTTTTGTGTCTCAATCCATAAAAGGCTTTCCGTTTCCGCTAGTTTAATCGTGGATCTTTGTCTATGTTTGAGAATAGTTTGTCATTTCTTGCTTTCCAAATGTACCATACTATCCATGGATATGATTCATTAGAAGTTTCTGTTGGTGTACGCCAAAACAAATAATCCAAATTTGCATAAATAGATCTTCCTGGGAAAACTCCCGTAGGTGTTGGGATCTGTGACAAAGCCCACATCTGCATTGCGGGTGGACATTCAAATAAAACATGATTGATCATTTCCTCCCCTGCCCCACATCTATTGCATTGCGCATCACATTTGATTCCTCTGTTGTTCAGGTTTTTGGCAACAGCCAGACAACCTGACAGTACTTGCCATAGAAAATGGCGTAATTTAGGGGGACACCTCAGTTTCCATAGTTTTACTAATAGGAGCTCGAAAGTAGGTCCATATTGATTTTGTGTTTCTGCTTCCGAGTTTTGATGTTCAATTTGGTATCCAGATTTGACCGTGTATTTGCCTGATTTTGTGAAGTGCCAACCCAGTACATCCGGCCGAAATGAAGCGCTGATGGGCATCCCTTGTATTATTTCCACATCTTTTGGATCTATAATAGCATTGAGGAGCCCCATATTCCAAGTACTAGTCTGCGGATCAATGAGGTGATTAACCATGAGATTTGGGTAGTAATTATAACCCTTACATATTGCTGATCTCGGGCGAGAAGATAATTCAGTTCGATTTGGTACATTCTAATTCGGTTTGGTTCCCGTTTGGTTTTTTGGTTTTGGGTTTTTGCCTAGTTCCTAGTATCCATGATGTATATTTGAATTATATTATTAATATAGTTACAATATAACCTATATAATGTGTGTCTCAATGATAAAATAATATCATTATTTCTCAGAATAAGTGAAAATATCTATTAACAGAAAATGAACAAAAGGATTTTTAATACTGAACCCAATGAAAAACTACCATTAACCTAAATGTGTTTCAAAATAAACTAGATTCTAACCCCGTACGTCCGCAAAGGAAATTTTATTTTTTTATTTTCAATACACTTTATATATTTTTTAGATATAATTTGGTATTTATATTGAATTTAAAAACTTAATTATTAATTTAGATATTTTTAGATTGGCTAACTCGTTGGCTAACACGTTTGTTTATTGGCTAGATCCTGACTCCTAGTAATACAGTAAGATATTCGTTTACCATTTGCATTATTATCAAAATATTTTTAAATTCAAAATTTTAAATTAAATCTAACATATATTTAAAGAATTCTAAAGTAACTAAAATAATTATCTAAATTTTTGTAATAAAATTTAATTATAAACTTTTTGAATTTTTTGAATTTTAAATTAAAATTGAATATAAATTTTCGTAACTAAATTTAATTATTCAAAGTTTCGAATAATTTGAAATTTAAATTAAGTAAAAATATCTAAATTAATAGCTAATTTTCAGAATTAAACATACATATATATATATATATATATTAAAATGGTTTTTATTTAAATTATATTAAAATTTGATCAATATTAAAACTGTTTCCAAACGTACAGAATTTTTTTAAAAATATGGAAATGTTTAGAAGCAACCACTAAAAGTGTTTTTGTTTTCATAGAACAAGGTGGGGATCCGCGTCAAACACAGACTTGCGATGTATACAAAGCTGATTACAAAATTTGTAGAGGCGATCCTTGATAAGTAGGAGGTTTGTAAGTTATATATAATCTGATATGTTTTAATATTCAATACTAACTATCATGAATTTTATTTCTTTTTTTTATAATGCTGAAATGCTTCAATAGTTGGATAATGGTATGTGATCTGTATCGTTAATAAACCCATAAATTTCGATAGTTGGAAATGGTACTTTTGAAAAAACTCATCACTTTATCAGCTGTGACCATTATTGTGAGACCCCGCTCTCTTCTTCCCTAACCGGGAACCATACGGACCGGCTATCAAATCCATGAGACCCCGAATCCGCCTTTCATCTGGATTGGTTATCAACTTTGAACGCCCCCAACCGCCCCTACCAGTGAGCCCAACGCTGTATAATCTGGGACCCAACGTTCTCTCTCTAGGCCCGTTGGCCCACCAACCGCCCCTACCAGTGAGCCCAACGTGCTCTCTCTCTAGTTCCGTTGGCCAACCACTGTCCTATGGTTGGCCTCTTTCTAGGCCCATGTGCCCACCTCTGTCCGACGATTGGGAGTACTGCCCCTCCAATCACCACGTGATCTTTTCTCGTGCTTTGTCCTCACTCGCACGGTACCGCAGACTACTTCCCGGTAGGTCATCTATATTGAGATTACTCCAGCATAAGCACGCTTAACTCTAGAGTTCTCTCAAGACACTTGACCGAAAAAGATAAGTGCACTTTGATGACATAGGTAGTAAATCAATTCTTATAAGCTTTTTCACATATACCGGAAATCGGGATGTCACAATTCTCCCCGACTTCCAAGGAATTCATCCTCGAATTCTCAACCACGTCCCAAGACGCCACCCAGGTCAGAGCCAGTTGTTTAACCTGACGCTCTGATACCAATTGTGAGACCCCGCTCCCTTCTTCCCTAACCGAGAACCAGACGGACCGGCTATCAAATCCATGAGACTCCGAATCCGCATTTCATCTTGATTGGCTATAACCTCTGAACGCCCCCAACCGCCCCTACCAGTGAGCCCAACGCTGTATAATCTGGGGCCCAACGTCCTCTCTCTAGGTCCGTTGGCCCACCAACCGCCCCTACCAGTGAGCCCAACGTCCTCTGTCTCTAGGTCCGTTGGCCCACCACTGTCCGAGGTTGGCCTCTTTCTAGGCCCATGGGCCCACCCCTGTCCGACGGTCGGGAGTCGCTTGGTCCGGGAGGCTCGTAAGAGTTGTCTACTGTCCCTGCAATCACCACGTGATCTTTTCCCGTGCTTTGTCCTCACACGCACGGTACCGCAGACTACTTCCCGGTAGCTCACCCATCCTGAGATTACTCCAGCATAAGTACACTTAACTCTGGAGTTCTCTCAAGACACTTGACCGGAAAAGATAAGTGCACTTTGATGACATAGGTAGCCAAATCTATTCTTATAAGCCTTTTCACATATACCGGAAATCGGGATGTCACAATTATCGTTATGTGCATCAATATTTGCTGATGTACAACATTTCATTAATGCAGATCTTTAAGTTGTAGTTTCTTTCAGTGTGTATTTTTCAAATACCATTATGGTTTTGTACTCGATTTCCTTTATGTTTAATAAAAGTATCGATTCTCGATAATCAGGACAACCATTAATGGAAAAGGAGAAACAGTATCAATTCTAATGCATAAGTAAACCAAAGTGTCATTAAAATAAACAATTTAATTAGTAAAGGACTAAACCAAAATAAATAAAATAAATTATCGTTTCTTTTCATTCTGAAAGACGGTCTTGTATACAACATTCAAAGTATTGGTTTGTGGCTTACTCATAGTATCCGTTATCAGAATCTTTAAACCAGCTCTCAAAGTAACACGTGATATAGCCACATAAAGTTGTCCATAGAAAAATACAGGTTTTGGTAAATACAGTCCAACATTTTGCGAAGCCTGTCCTTAGCTTTTACTGATAGTCATTGCATAGGTGATGGTTATAGGAAATTGTCTACTCCTCATTCTAAAAAGAAAAATTTTCTCCGTGGAGGAAATAAACATTCGTGGGATCAAGACCTTTTGACCAATTATGTGGCTAGCTTGAATAACATGTTTGTCCAATTGGTTACCAAGAGTCTTTTTCCATTGCATAAACCACCTCTAGGGTCAATATTCCGAATCAACATAATGGGTGTTCACATTTTAATTTCAATTCATGGTTCGGCAATCCTGAGATCTTTCAGAAGTATCAATACTGTTCGAACTAAAATATTTATGTTCCTCACCTAGAAAAATGTTAAACAAAGTTCACAAAGTATAACTTAAATTTAACAATAAGAAGCTCAAGTGTAAGATCGTATATCTATATTTATAAAGTGTTAAATATGTTTACCTTGTATTTTCGATAACATGTATTCGTTTATTAATCTCACGTCTGCATTTCTCGGGCTGAGAGTTGCTCTCTTAGAAAAAAAAACTTTGGGTCTCTCTCCGATCTATATGAATCACTATACACTTCTCTTACTATCCCTTTACTAGGATCGCACATTCTTTTATCAGTACATCGTCAAGGATTTCAATTTTGGCTTCATCGTCGTCACAAACTATATAGATCACTTGCTTATTGTTATTTTTTTATTTTTTTTTTTAAACATATACGATTCATGAAGACATTCCTAATTAAATTATTATGAATCCTTCCTGAATATTTAAGGAGGCATTCCCTAATTGAAAATTCAGACATGGATTCCAAAAGTTTAAGAATCTGTAGTTTGGTCTGAAATAAAAATGTAAACAACTTATTTTTGGTCTGAATAAGCATACTCTTCAAAAGCATTGCAAACCTACTTGCCTTTTAATGGTATTCAATCATTTTCATTCATCAGAAAATGTCTTAGACCCAATCAAATAAAGAGAAAAGGTTTGTTAAACAACAAATACATAAAACATTTCATTGATATATTCATATCTTTGCATGTTTAGGATGTATTTTTTGGTCCAAGAATAGAGTCTCATGCATCCTTTTTAGATAGACTCTTTATGTTTTGTCCTCGTTTTAGAGTTTTAAGACTTTGCATTAGGTCCAAGAGAGTCTTGCATGTTTGGAATGTCATTCAGATGCTTCGAGCTCATTTGGAGTGAAAACGATGGAAACAGGTGAAGAAATGGTGAAA